TTGTGCCAGTGCTGGAAAACAGAGGTGATTATTCCAACAGTATCCGAGTCGAACATCCTCTTTGCTGATAGGCCAGTGTGAAGAAGGCGAATATTGGCTGGTACCGATGTTCGGCCGGTAAATCGGTGCATCCCTAGTTATTTTCTGAGTGTTTCTAGCAGTTGTCATCCAGCTCTTTGCAGTTGTTTCTTTTCTTCCTCTGCAGTCCACGGGGGGATCGATTAAGAAGCCGAGTAGAACTGGCTTCAGTGCTGGAGGGGATTATTGACTTGTCAACCTTCGAATACAAGACAGGAAAGTTCTACGAGGGCGAAGCACAACCCATAAGGGTTCGAAACCGAGTGAAGGTATTGGCCTCTTTTAGCATGTGAAACTGAAAACATGTAAGACGTGCATGTCTTACATGTTAGTTTTCTTCACTTTCTCATCCACCAGAGAAAGGTCCGGGAGCGTTCATCCTCAGAGTCCAGCTGGATGGACAGAGGAGAGGGGGCTGACACTCCAGACTCCCACCACAGGCTCACCCCCAGTCAGGGACCCAAAAACCTTCCCTCCAACCAGACCAGTTCCTCCTCACATAATACAATAGGAACTTCAAACCAAGGCTCTCGCACTGAGAATCTACCAGCGGAAGATAAAATTAAACTTCCTCTTCCCTCATCATCCTCCAAACCCATCCCGCTCCCCTCTATAAACGGAGAAATTGGGTCAGAAGACAGCACTCTGTGAGTCCATTGTTGCTTCTTTCTTTAACCTTATTATTCATACCTTATTATTATTATTCTTCTGATGTAATTAACAGCACACATGGACTGAGCATTGGCTTGTTTCTCTACAGGGTCTGTGCCAAATGTGGTATTTCCTTCACAGGCACATGGTATGACAAACAAAGGAAGAGGCCCTGCTGTCCCACCTGTTGGGGTATGTCAGGTTATGGCTGTGCAATATCATAATTTTGAGGCAAAGACAGCGTTAGATATAGGAAACAATCGTGGAAAATAACTAAGGTGGGGTAAAAGTGATGACCTTCTTACAGTTTTACTTATCCTACGATGTTTATGTCTTTTTAATTCCAGCTGCGTCAAAGACAAAAGAGCATCCGATGATTCGTTTCAGAAAGGTAAAAACGTTGTCTGGCGACGAGCTGTGTGACTGAACAGCTACATTTGAGCTACTTTAACTAGCCTAAAGTTTAGCATGTGGTCCATTGGGGACTGATCAGTATTCCCACATTATGTGAATGTTTTGATTATATGAGAGGAAGATTATGTTGTTGAACCTGACTGAACACTGAATCCTTTCTGGTACTTTTTTTTTTACATCTGGCTGTAAGGAAAGGTGAACGAGCTCACAGCAATAATACTGAGTATTAGAAATGCACATTGCTATACTTTTGTTACAATTATTACCCGTGAGTCTGTAACTTAACTCTCTAAAATACAACCGTTGTTAGAACTTCTATGACATCAGTGAATCAATCCGTGTCAAACAGAAGCAGCAGTGTGGTAGTAGTAAGCTGCCATGATGAATCTCGCTCCCGTGTGCAACGTCCTCCATCGTTGTTCATTTTGGAGGCTTGTTATTGATTGCCACAAAAATGTGAAATATCAGTAAGATTTATGATAAACGGTTTAGCATGCTGCAGCAGTTTTCATTAATGTGAATATAGAACTTTTCATGACCACTTTTAACTTTTAAGCATGATAGTTTTTGGGGCATATCAATTGAAACTGACTCGCTCCCACCTCTGCTAATAGACATACACATTTTGGAATTAAAATACTGATGAAAGTGCGTATTAACGAATAAATGAACCTGTTTTTCTATTCTTGTTCTTGTCACCTGTAGTGGATTCCTTGTGGACAGTGTGTCGGATGCCACAACACGGTGAACTGTGGACAGTGTGCCAACTGTAAGCATGGACTGCAGAGCCCCGAGTCCAGGAAACGCATATGCCGAAAACGCAAGTGTATATGTCCTATTCGCAAGGTAAGCTGACGGGTACACAACAGTTAGTGTTAATTTCGATGCCATTTGTTAATTATGTTGTCTTTGTATTCATGCTTTTGTCCCCTGTATGTTCCCTCAGGGCCCTGGAAGTGGAGGCTTCCTGCAGCAGAGGCCTTATAATGACATTCCTGAAACATTTGATGACAGTATGAGCTTCCAGGTAATAAGAGCTTGTATAATCAACTAGAGCTATTTTCCCGGGTTCTTGTTGAACTCCATGTGTAGATTGCCTGTTGTAATGTCACAGTAACCATTTTTGTGGCATTTAAGTTCTAACAACAACTATTTTATTTTACAGAGTGAAGTTACAGACTCACAGGTAACGTTTTTTGTCTTTTTATACAAGACCAAATTATATGTGTATTTCTAGTACTCAGCATTAGTGCCAGAAGTTTTTTTTTGTGCCTACTCTCATTCATAATGTTTTATTCACACAGCATCCGAGTCTCAAAAGCAGTGACACAGAGAACTTCTCAGTCAACGTGGACGTTGACGATGAAGAAGACATGTCAACTGATGACGATGATGATGTGAGTTTTTAACCCACTGATGATTGCATAAACCCTTTTAGGCCCGTAGTGGCTAGTGAAAGACTGACTTCATAGTTCTGAAGTTTTCCTTCATAGAAATTCATAACCTCATAATCTCATTGTACATGTGTATAGTGACAATAAAGGCATTCTTCTTCTTAACCAGTGACTGTGTACTGCAGTAGAAACAACTCTTCTTGGCAGGAAATAGGGACGTCACAAAACCATAAATGTAGCTGATACCAATACCAGTACAGTTCCACTATTCTTAATAGCCAGTTCCAAAAAACAAAACAAAAAAATCTCATGTAGGTCAACATACACACTCCTTTTATTAAAAACATCTGAACATTACAAAAAACAACAACAGGGGTATGTAGTCTTCAAATAATAAATAAAAAGAAACGACTAGTCAACACACTCTTCCCTGCCTGCCTGTCTTACACTCTTCGATCGTTTCATTTTCATATAGAATATCTTCCAATCAATATCAGCCTAGATGAGTCTTATTATTTATTAACCTCACATGTTAATGCTTTTCTTCGTCATCTGTGACGTGAAAACATCAGATTTCCACACAGTCTGTGTGTCTTGCTCATAGCTCAGTAATTAAATCCCAGCGCACCACAAAGCGTCTTCCGGGCCGGCAGGCTGGAGTCACGCTGTCCTCTGTTTCTGTCACAGTTATTGTTTTGTTGTTTGTGGTCATTCGAAGACTCGGTTTGTATTGATATCAACAGTCATCATTAGGGATGAGTCCTCTTTCTCTTCCTGCACGCTCTGCAGGAGCGACCCCTCACCTAAACCAAACTCTGACAAGTTGTTTGAATTTCATACGTGACAGAACAGTTGCACTGTTTTTCTTTTTGGCGAGTGGCTGCAGCTGTATTCATGTGAGGAAGGTTACAGTCGCCTCATCGTCCCACACAGATCTGATGTTTTCCGCTCTTCACTGTAGCAGACTCTTGAGTGAAGTTTTAAGTCACTTGCTTCATGTTCGTCATGATTCATTCATTAAGTATGTTCCCATTGCACTTCGTCACATTTTCTTTTGATTGATAGCACACGTTTTCCACTTCAGTCAAGTGTGAAAACTTTTTTATGCACAAATTGAAAATACACATAAAAACAGGTGGATGGAAATGTACTTCCTTTTTTTGAAAAAAAGTTGGACATTATGTTATGATTGCCATGTTGTTAACTCAGAGAGGTTATTTACTCAAGGTTGTGTGTGGTTTGCATAAATCCTTTCCAGACATATATACAAATACTCAACAATAATGGAACAATAATGCGTGGCTGATATAAAAAAAACAATCTAAAAAATATATAGTTTCCACATTAAAATCCTTAAAAAACATCTATTCTTTAAACCTTGTCAAACATCCACAATCTATGAATATGCAAAGTCTTCCTGCTGCACACAGGATGTCACTGTAAAGTTCATTCTCAGTGGATGTGCACTGGTGGCTTCATGTTTCTACATCACACTGTATAGATTGCATACTGGACCTCAACATCCAAGTGTAGGAACAAGAAGAAAAACACATTTTTGAGTAGAGGGGGGCTTTAAGAAAATGTAAAGATTCGTTTTAAAAACAAAAAAAATCATTTTGCAACTAAAATGCTGCATACAATATAAGCCTTGTTCAAATATTGCATTGTTGAAAAACATATTTTTTGAGTTCTTTATTTTGTATTATATACTTGATTTAATTTCAGAAATAGATTTGTTTCAGAAGGTTTTGAGTTTAATTAAACAGACAACATTTTACTAACATTTTACTCTAATGGCGCATCCTCCTCCTGTATAGTTGACAAAATTACGGAATTATTGACATGTTAATGCCTTTTTATGTGTGCTACATTTTTGATTATTCTTGTTTTCAGTGGCATAAGAAGCGGAAGCGGCGATCCTGTGGAGAATGTAAAGCCTGTCTCTGCAGGAAAGACTGCGGTACATGTGATTTCTGTATAGACAAACCCAAATTTGGAGGCAGCAACAAGAAGAGGCAGAAGTGTCGACTACGCCAGTGTCAGAGACAGGCAATGGTAGAACCATACCAGCTTCCAATTAATTTGTTGTTTCACACAGTAATGATTTAATAGTGTTTGCTTTAAATATGTCTCTGCTTACATTTGGCAGAGACACTTGCTGCCTTTCCAGATGGGACAAGGTGAATATGGGCCAGATGGCCCTGCGCTGCCAGGCAGACCTAGACCTCACTACACATACAGTCGAAAGTCAAATTTCAAGAAAGGGAAAGCTCCGCAGTTTAGCTTGGACTTCACCGACAATGAAGATGACGATAGTAACCTACAAGCAGTGAGTTCCCGATGCCTTTGGTGTTCAACTCTTCTCTCTTCTATTTTTTTTGCTTAGCGCTTGTCTCATCAAACAGAATATCAATTTGATTTTGTCTTCCAGCAGTTCAATCATTTGGATTTCGGACAGCGGAATGGACTACCTGACAGAGTCCCTCACATCAGCAACCACAACAGCTCTGAACTGGTAATTTTACATTCTTCCTTCTTAATAAAGTTCCATTTTTTTCTCTCCATCAAATCAAAAATGTGTTGAATTTTGTGGTTGAGTAGTTTAAGTTCAAGAGCATGCGATGTCCCACAGCTCTTTTGTTGATAGTTGCACTTTCCTGGCTGACAGTGTATGAATTCTTGCTGCCCTATGCTTAATAGCACGAAACCTGACTGGTCATGTGTCATAATGGCCTCCTGTTTACACGTTCCTTCAGTAACGCTTCTGGCGCCATGTCCATTTCCTTTTGTGTATCTGTTGCCATGCTGTTCTTTGGCGTGTGGCTCAGTGTGATGAATCCAGGCCTGCTTCCAGCTCTGTTTGACCAGGTTTTTTACCAGTCCGTGGTAATACAATCTGTACCTCTCTAAGCGCTCCACTCGTTGAATCTTTTTGCAACGAGTGTGCTTGTGTTGGTTTCTGTTGTCGTCTCTCAAGTTGGGGTCTTCTCCCACTGTCCTGTGCTCTCTAGTGGGTATTTCCATGTGATAGTACATAAGTGAATATTCGAGAGGCATTCTGACAGAGTAGCTATAGACAGGAAAAATGAAGTGAGAAAGAGAGGGGCACATGACACGCAACAAAATTGAACGGGGGATGTTGCAATTAAATGGTACACGTCTTAACTTGGCACCAGACCACCCACAAAAGTTCATTTGATCTCTTGTTAAAGCACGCATATCACTGCCAAGTTGTTTGCGCTCCCTCTCCTCATCACCCCTCTCTTCTTGGCTGTCCTTCAGTTTGTTCTTGTGGTCACTTGTTTTGCCAGTCACTTGATTAGACAAAAATATCAGATGCTACCCATCATCAGTGCTGCAGCTTTCAGTGTTTTTCGAGCCCATGTAAACAAGGAGTAGGAAAATGGCATATGCAGTTCTGGAGAAATCCAATACAGTGACAAATACCATGATATAGTGTGAACAACAGCACGTAATGTGAATGCAGGTACTGTAAGTAATGTCAGCTAGGTTGTGGGTTTGCAAAGTGTCGCTAAAGTGAGTTAAAGAATGTACGTTGGCATGTAATGTAACGTTGCCTGATACACACATCCTGGGTGGAATAACAAGCTAGTGTTGTGTGGTTTGGTCGTGAGCCACTTTGTTTGTTTCCCATTTACAGAGTCAGGGCTGTGTACAAACACCAGATTTTTTTTCAGTCCACACACACACAGCAGAAGGCTAGCGGACCATGAGGAGATATTTGCTGAATTTGAAAAAAGTGTAATGGAATTGAATCGCATTACCCAGAGTCGCTTATCTCACCTTTAAGTAGTAAGGTGTGTGTGTGTGTGTGAGCAGTGTTTGCTTATACAGCTTGAATTTGCAATGTCTAATCCTCAGGTGTGTCAGTGAGGTTTGAGGGGTTGAGTGATGGTAAATTGACTGCTTACTTCTAGTCTTGCGACTACACAAAGCGCTTTACGTTCCACATTCACCCATTCACACACCGATGCCAAAGACCATCACAAACAAAAACTAATGCAGAAAAAGAAACCAATTTATTCACATACATACTCCAATGATACAGCATCGGGAGCAGTTTGGTGTTCAGTATCTTGCTGTAGGACACTTCCACATGCAGTGGGAGGAGCTGGGGATTGAACCATAAACCTTGTGATTAGTGGACAAGCTGCTCTACCCCCTGAGCCACAGCACCCCAGCCTCACTGCTTCTTGCAAATACAAAATTATTAAAGTTGTTTAGTACACTGTGCTAACTGATGGTGTACAAATTCTTCTTTTATTATTTGTGTCTCGGACGATGTCTCAATGCTAATGAGGCAGAAATATAAAGACTGGTGATCTTGCTTGTTTACCAGAGAATTTTTGTAAATCATCTTGATCTTCCCTACTTTTCTGTTAGCTCAATGGCTGCTAATATGTTAAGCTTTATAAATAGACACAGGCTGCTGTTGAGTTGTATAGGTTGGCCAGGTAAGTATGAAGAAGCTAACATTATCAACATTAACACTTTTTTTCAGCTTCAGCTCATCACAGATTTGCAAACTTCTGCCGATACACTAATTTGACTGTCAGGGTAGTGGTTTGTCGCTTGAGGATTGAGACAGATAGTTGGAAATATGACAGAGACAGAATTGTTTAATGTAAGATAAAATGCTAACACTCACTAGCCAGTGTATTAGGTACACCTAACCAAAGCTAATGGGGTTTAAGAAGGTTATAATATTAAGTTTAAATTTGAACTGTTTTAGAGAAGTGTTGGTTCAACTTCATTTTGAAGGCTGTAGTTTCTAGTGTTGTGGAATAGTGTTATACATACTGAGAGCTGTCTTCAATTTTGTGTCCACCCCATTTATATTACAGGTCCAATGTGTTAGATTGAATGGCATTGCAGTGTAGTTGCAGATTACAACTCCCCTCACCATCCCGTTCCAAGTGTGTAGGAGAAATTATGGTGGGTGCGAAAATCTCCAAAATCCCTAGAGGTTTGGATTGTCTGTTCTGGGTAAAGTCAGATTATACTCAATGGAAGTGTGGATACTTTTCACTGTAAAACTGAGTGACATAGAGGTGTATATCTACGCCATGATTTGTTGTGATCCATGATCTAGTACAAACAATAGACACATTCGTAACAATCCCACACTCTGCAGTTTAAAGCTTCCAGTTCAGCTTTGGTTTGATATGATTTGAATTGAGTTTCGATTGTACTTGAATTACAGATTGAGTTTACACTGTCAGTAGTTGTAGTTTATAGTTGAGCTTATGAGTTCACCCTCATCAATCCAGGACCAGCTAAGCAGATGGGATGCAAAGAGATCACTCGCAGGCAGAGACGGTCAACGGCATGTTGATGAAGACGACGAAGAGGAAGACGAGTTGCCCATGGTAAGTGTCCTGCTGAGAATTTTCATATTAGCTGTCTGAACAGCCACAGATAAAGCAAACCCATCTGTGTATTTATTTTCCTCCTGTTGCTCTCTGCAGATCACACAGATCTTCAGTTTGGCTGATAACTGTGCTGGGAGCGGTGTGGACATTGAAAACCAGCTAATGAAGCTGTTACAGTCTTTGCGCTCCTCTGTACTGCCAATCCTATGGTACGCCATAATGGTGGAGGGCCCGCAGCTGCAGCTCATCCAGTGTTCTAAACAGTCCAACATGACCGACACCACGGTGCTGATCGACCCGGGCTTCTGCTATCAGGTCACCGTCCAAAAGCAGCCGCTGCTCCCCACCCACCCGCTGTACGACAAGCACCCAGGGCGATTAAGCTCGGTGACTGAAGTGGTCGATCTGCTTTTGGGCCTGGAGAAGTACATGGTGTGCCAGGGACTGCCCCCTAAAGAGCCATTGTGTAATAAAGACCCACTCATGCTGGAGCGGGCGTCAACGTGTGATTTCTTGGTTAAGAGGAAAGTGAGCATCTGTACTAACTGCAGAGCGCTGCAAGGACTTTAACATTAGTAGAGACAGAAGGTGATCTGTGACCACAGTGGAGACTTGTTCTCTGGTGCATCTTTGTGCCATTTTGTTAGTGTTTTTATTTTGGTGATACTACATGATTTACCTCTGGACTGTAATAGTATGATTTGTTTATTTGAAGACTCACCAAAGGCATTCCAGGAGCTGTGACGTTATAATCCAGGCAAATTTCTTCTCAGATGTCTTCTGTTATTTTGGTTTAGGGCTCTTCTTCATGACTGTTATGTCAGAGTTTGGAAAGTGGGATGGGTAGAGCTGTTTGTGGATTCACACTCTTACTTGAGGAATCTGTAACCCCTCACCCCCTCACTGTTATTGCACTTTGAGTGGTCGTTCTTTCTCTCTCAGCCCAAAAATGAAAGTGAAATTATGTGCTGCTCACCCTGTTCTTCTTCTAACCAGCAATATTGTAGACCATGTCAAGGTTTTTTGGACACAATGAACATGTTCACCCAGTTCATTTAGTAACAGCTTTGTTGTTCCATCAATAATAATACCAACTGACATTATGTGTGTGAAAGTATGTGCAGTGGAAAAGGAGACTGAAATATACTAGCCTTTGATTTCATTAGACTGATTACAGTGTTTATGAAAAAATGTATTCAACCCCTGTTGATTTTGCCTTTTGAGTTGAATCCCAGTGGATGAAAAAAGGAGGAAAATAAACCTCTACAAAATGACCAACATAAGCACAAATATAACAGTTGAGTGAGTGCCTGTAATTGTTCCCTTCCTATGACACGCCCAAATCATTAGAGTTTTAAAAGTCCCAAAGTGTCACCTGTGTTACCTAAAAGCACCAGTTGAGAGGGAGGGAGAGAGTTACTAGAACATCTTCGAGACCCTGAGTATCCCATGGAGCCTAATGGTCAAACGTGATGACCTACATGGCTCCATGGCTGAGTTGGGAGACGGCGTTCAGACAACAACTGTTGCTTTGACAGTTGCAGCTTTATGTTGGAGAGGCAAAGAGACATCTGATTGCCAGTAGACTTGTGGGAGACTTGAGACCGAGTTAATGAAGGTTCTGTTGTCAGGTGGGCTTAAAAACAGCAGTGCTATTGTCTCTGAGTCCAGACATCAGATCTCTCTGACATTTATTGCAAGAGTAAGTACCTCTATTAAAATAATGCTAGTGTTAATATTGGCTCGACAGTTGTTTGTTTATATATTTGAAATAATTTCGATCAAATTGATATGAGTCCTTTCTCAGATTATTTAGCCTTATTACATCCACTTTGGCCCAGTGTTTAAAAAGACAAATACATGGGTGGGACACTTTTTAAGAGCACTGTAATCACAATGCATTAAAGCTATTCTGTTGCCACATTTTAAAACAAATAAGTAAGAGCAGAACAAACAGCTGGTAACGTGAGGAAGAGATCAGAATCGTTCCCACATTCATCATCATTTTTGGGCTGTGGCAGATGCTTTTTGCACGTTAGAAGACATACGTTGGTTTTGACTGGCAGATTTCAACACCTGAAATATGCTGAAATTTCTACTGAGATCAGACACTTCCTTTAGCATATGCTTGTAGAATGTATTTTCCAGAATGATGTCCTCAAATGAAACTGGCAGTGCAGCCAAGCCTCTTACAGATGATGATATGCTGTATTTATTAGGGTGTGTGAAACCTCTTTAAACCCCATCCTTCCATTTCTGTTCTGACTAATTTGATGATTGGCATTTAATATTATATTTTTAACCATTGGGTAGTTTGAATTGTATAATAATTTTAAATAAAATATGAATAAATGAAATGTTTCTCCTGCCCCCTTCTCCATTGGGATATTGATTCAAGTAAGTAACTCAATGAATTCAACAATGTGAAACTTTATGCATTCTTAACACTGTCAGATTTATTTTTGTTATCTTGGTTTCCTCAAGTAATTGTGCAGATGAAATGTTTGGGATCAATTAATTGTTCTTAAAAAAATATATTGTTATTTAGTCTTTGAATTAAAACATATATAAAGAATAGAAACAGAAGTTTTCCATATTTCCTGTTTGTGTCTTTCTGAAGGCAGTGTGCAAATAAACTTTTCTTGCTGACTTGCTTTTTATAATATTTATCAAATCCTGAGAAGAATTTAATGTGAACTGACTCAGAATCAGTAAAAGCCCAAAGGTTTTATATTCAGTGATAGTCATCCATATTATCTGCCTCTTCATGTGTATATCTTGCTAGTTAATGTTGGAGTGTATGAGGTAATGGGACTACAGTAAACGGAGCCAGATACTTGTTGGCTGAGTTATTGGTTTTATTATTAAGAATTGTTAGAGTGGGAACCACAGCTAATGCCTTTATTAAACCCATATTTTATATTGCTTAAGAGACTTCCATCTGTGGTCCACCAAGGTCTCTTTGAATGGAAACATTTCTGACGCCCTCAGAAACTAGTGTAGTTGATTTACAGTAGCTTGTTATGTAGGCAAAATATATAGTTATGCGTGGCATCCCTCTTTAAAGAAAAAGGCTCAATTTCAACCTAGAAATGCCTTTAATTTTTTAAGCACTAAAAGTTTTCATGTCTTCTTTAACTTTGTGATATATTCTCGGTGGTTTCAACCATGCAATATTTGAACAAGGCTTATATTGTATGCAGCATTTTAGTTGTAAACTTTAAATAGTAATTTTACATTGATTTTTTACTTTTTCTTAAAGTCCCTCTTCACTTTAAAAAATGTTTCTTTCTTGTCTCTACAGTATGATGTTCACTGTGCAGAGTTTGACATTAGAACAATGTTTTCACATTCATCTGCTGANNGTTTCTCTGTGCTCATTGAACATCAGATTTACGGGGCAGGGGCTACTTGCATGATTTGTGACATCACAAAGTCTGGTGGTCCATGGAGGAGACATCTTGTGTCCAGCAGGGAAACTTTAGAAATGAATAAAATTGCATAGCTTTCATAGCTTCCAGAAATTACAATAAGGTAGAAGGAGTTTATGCCATTTTAAGGATTTTAATGTGGAAATAATACTTTTACTGATTTCATTTAACATATATTCATTTATTTTCCTAATTTATTGAGACACATTCATCAACATTTCTGCAAATGTGCCAGTAGCCAGCAGGCTAATTTTCACTATTTTGTATTGAAATCTTGGATTTGTTTTTTATACAGATATATGACGGTTTGAGCTTTTTTAGACTGTGTAACAAGGTCCTGCAGCTACACTTAAAACCCTCCTCACGGAATAATTGGCCAGGACGCCTGAGCAGCACACACACACACACACACACACACACACACACACTCGGTGCAAACTGGCTTTTCTTTTCTTTTTTTTAATAGTAAGCGTCACTGTGCGCGCGCCTATGCAACAACTGGATAACAATATTTGTATGGCAGGATTAAGTGGCGCACATTGAAGCCATGTAACATCTGGGAGGGGCGTCATTGCCGTGACAGCGTTGAGTCAGTGGGCTGCTTTAAAGCGAGGGTTTTCATCCGGCGCAGAAGGGAAACCTTTCTTCCGTCTGAGAGCAGGTCTGCTGAGATGCGCAGGGCTCCGACACAGCGGAGGTCGCGAGGCTGCTGGTGAATTACAATTGGGATACGAAGCCACCGCGAGCGAGGGGCTTTCTCTTTCTCTGCTCGTGTTTAACGAACTACCGCTCGTTTAATTCACTGAAGCTTTCTCCTGGAGAGGGTTCCGTCCTGTGCTCTCACGCAGGAATGATTTTCCTCGGCTTGGTTTTGCCACAGAGGACCACGGAGACCTCCGAAGGCATCGGTCATGCTCTCTGGTAAGAGGGGGTTCTGCTCCAAGATGTCCTTCTCATCCTGACTGGGCGTATTAATGAATAGCCGTCCACACAACCTATATTCTCTGTAAGGAAAAAATAGCTTGGCCTACATAGGAGACGACAGGACGTTATTTGCTGTTTTATTCATTGTTTTGGACGCGCATTTACCTTCACGCAAAAACCAGGTTTGTCATCGTGTCAGTGTGTGACACACCTGCGACGTGTTATCGCTTCCATTAATTAGTCCTGTCCGTGTGTTTCATTATGAGCCGGCGCCGCTGCCGTCTGCAGCCACTATGCAGATGCGGGACGGCTCAGAAAGCCGCTTAATGTGGGAACACATGCTTTATGCCCTCCACGCTGAGCACAACAACACGCCTCTAAATTAAACGCAAGGACCGCAGGAAATGAAATCCAATGTCTCTTTCATCTGTGCGTGTGTTGTGTCCCAGCGCCTGTAAACAGAGGAACATATTGTCTGTGTGGCACATTCATTAAAAGGCAGGAAATGCCTGGGTTTGCAACAGCATCTGAGTGAATTCAAACACGCAGCTTTAAAGGAGTAAAAATCTGTGTCATGCTTCTTGGGAATACACAACTTCTCCCTGTTAATTGTTATGAAGCAAAACAGGCAGCAGCACGCTGCTACTGCTGTCTGCTGGGCCGTATTGATTTCAGCGTTCTCATATGAATATGTTGCTTGTTCTCATGCAGCAGCGTTAAGCCCTATTATTAACAGATTCCTGAACAAGGATGTCTGTCTGGATCTGAAAAAACTCATCCAAATGTGTTGTGTGGGCCAGTGGGTGCCTTCGGGGTGATTCACTGCTGGTCCAGCTTTTGGTGTGTCTGGGAAACACCTCTCTGTTTTCAGAAGAGGATTCTCCACTTTGCTGCCAAGCATTTTCAAAAGTGCTGATCGTTCCTATTTTTGGGCTTCATGTATTTGCAGGGGCTTTGAATTCGTGGACCATTAGGCCACTTTGCAAACAGGTTTGGTTTACGGTCTTTTATTGCAGGGGGAAGACCATTCATGCTCAGTTTCATCTTGTTCAGAGGGATTTTGACACCAGTTGGTGTTTGTTTTCACCACTCTCAGTTTGCTGTTATCTTCAAATTGGTAGCCGTGGCACTCTGCTTTTCTCTAAAGCGCTACCTGTGGTTTTCATGCTACTTTGAGTGTTACAATTCAATCAAACACCATGGAATTGGACCTTGACCCAGATTGGGGCAAACACAATGGTGTTTTTTGCCATGCTGTTACATCAAGGTGACACTGCCCCTTTTATGATGCCCCTAAGACATGGACTGACATGATTTTAACATCTGGTTCACTAGTAGTGGACTGACAAACATGCAGGTTTAGTGGGGGTGTGTGAAAAGTCACACACTCACGCCCTGATCTGGATTCAGGACCTTTCAGCAAACCCTTTCAAATGTGCTTTTGGCTTCATCCAAAGTGTCTTGGTGCGTAGTGTGTGTGTGTGAGCTCAGGGAATCAAATCCCAGACCTTATCAAGTGTTGAAAATATAGCAGAGCGGTAGTGTCACAGATAACACGGGGAATTCACCCACATTTCTTCAGTCATTCAAGAACACAACCGCACGGAGGAATCAGATCCGGCTGTTCTGCGTGTGTAGTAATGGTGATTGTAAGTGTATGGCTGCGGCTGCACATCATAAGCAGCCCTGAACTCCCTCCATAACTAAACAAGGTGGCTTACAGTCGCAGGAAACAAACGGAAAACAATCGTGAAAACATACTGTACAGAAGTCCCTTCAGGTGTTACAGAGCAATGGGAAAATGCATAGGAATAATCCCCTAGGAAGTTAGAGCAACATTCCTTTCTTTATTACTCCCCCCACCTCAGCTTAGCAGAATCCAGGTGGATAGTAATCACCAAGATTGCTTTGTTTCACCCGCCGGAGTTGTGTCAAACGTGCAAAGGTGAACGTCGAGGCCGGGGGGGAGAAATGGTGAGCCACACGATTGGTCAGTCCGAGCTAAGCTGCTCTGCTGTGGGCCGATAAGCACGTTATAAATCAGTACTTCATGGATATAGAGCGCGCAAGGAGAGATCATATTAGTGTGGGGGGTAGGGAGTAGGGTCACCTGACCTTCCGTAAGCCCTCCACAGTCCTTTGGTTGGGGTTGGTCAGGTGGAGGTACTGTAGTTCAGTAAATCCCCTGCACTGGATCCGCTGTATGCCTGTCCCTCGCTCATCCTTTTATACAGAAACCCCGACTGCACCCCCTCCTTTCTGTCTTGAGGTTAGAAACATTTGGATGTTGACATGTTCTCTTCCTCATCCCCCCCCCCCATCATTACTACTCCCCAACGGGCTTACAACATCTCTGGAGTTTGAGTTTGAAAGGCGGGGAGAGCGCGCAGATAAAGGTCACATGACCGGGCTCTTGCAAATGAACACAGCAAGGTTCAGAGGTTCGGAAGCATTGGAGGCATCGCGAGAGAGCCGACGCTGCGACGTTTCGTGCGGATACCTGGAAGCGGCGAAACTATTGGCCCAGTTTTGACTCCTCAGAAAGCGTTTGCAGACCTTCTCTGGCAGGAGCTGTGTAGTCGCAACCCTGCTCTGGTTACCATGTGTTGAGTTCCCAACAGTAGCAGCTGTGTCAACACCAGCAGTCAACACGAGGGCTGCCAGCCTCACCTGTCTGCGGAGGGCTGGAGGCGATATTTCAGCTGCTCTTTCGCATCTCAGCTGCTCCACATCGCCTGTTGAAAGACCCCGACCAACATATTGTGCCTCCGTCGCCCCTCGCGATCGATCCGAGGTTGTTGCATAAGAATCTACTGTTTTACACATTAAGACGTGCCGTACTGTAAGTCATGAACATGCGTGTCGTATAAACGCTGTTGACAACCGTAGCGTGTTCCTGGGACTCTCGGGCCCGATAAAAGCTGACAGAAGCGAGAGTGAGTCTCTTGAAGATCCGGGAGGCATCGCGTTTATCAAGGGATGAGAGAACTGGATATAAAACTGTTGCCTGTAGTAATTTAGCTCTGCTGCGATGTAATATGTATGACTTGTAAGCCGGAGAGGGAGCAGCGCGGCTCCTTGTGCGGCCGCCGGAGGATCGGACCTACCTTACAGGCTCCACTGTTTTAGCCCTTCAGACTTGAATATTAAACTCCTGGCTGATTTGCATTCGTGTGATGCGCGCTGCACAGGGGCAACTCACTCTCACCGCACAGCTCATGTTTTAATCAACATGGCTCCCACAGTGCTATCTGTACCAGCATACATACCCCCCCCCCCC